GATAACTATAGATGTAGGATTACTATAGATATAGGATAACTAAAGATGTAGGATAACTATAGATGTAGGATAACTATTGATGTTGTATAACTATAGATATAGGATAACTATAGATATAGGATAACTATAGATGTACGAGATAACTATAGATGTAGTATAACTATAGATGTAGTATAACTAAAGATGTAGGATAACTATAGATGTAGGATAACTATAGATATAGAATAACTATAGATATAGGATAACTATAGATGTAGTATAACTATAGATGTAGGATAACTATAGATGTAGGATAAATATAGATGTAGGATAACTATAGATGTAGGATAACGATAGATGTAGGATATCTATAGATGTAGTAATAGAATATTTTTTTTGTGAAACAAATACAGTTGTTCAAACTTATTAAAATAATATAGTATAGAACTACAATACCTGAAATATTTCGTATAATAGATAGTGATAGTGGATAGTAAATGGTTACCTGATTTTAAGACAAATGAGGGCTTAAATAAATATATAAAATTACATATATTTATATGAAAGTTTATTTTAAAAGTGTCCTCATACTTATTTAGTGAATCCTCTAATATTCTTTTCTACATAGGTAAATTCACTAAAATTCTATATTTCTATATAGAACTATCAATATAGTTAATATCAATAAAGTACTGAGTCCCGCTTTATACATAAAGTGATAAGGTATTGTAAACCTTATACAATAAAAGTAACTTGGAATTCAAATTATATTTAGTTCCTATCAGTAGTTATGTTATATTCTTGTTTGTTTTTTTATTATTATTATATTTTGATACTAGGCTAATGCTTCATAATTGAAGGGCGGGTATATATTTCCAATCGATGACGTCTTATCGTGTTTTCAACAATTAAAGATGTTTTTTTTTTTTGAAAATTTCGAATGTTAAAAATTGTGTAGATGTTAAGATTATTTTCTATCCACATATCTGTCTCGTTCTACCTAGTTAATTGTGGTGTTAAAAAGTTATCATAATTCCTTATTAAAACTAATTTTATAAAGTTTTCTATATGGAAATTTTATAAGAAGGTATCGTAATATCTTAAATTAAATCTAAATAGTAATAGTAAACTTTCTGAATGGGCTGAAAAATTGTTTGTTATTTTACAGTAGGTAACGTTATAGTAAAAAAAGGGCTTAAGTCTCAAGGTTCTTGTCAAACCAACGACAAGAAATTGAATCTGAGATTGTACTTTAGCGAAAGGAGGCATTATGGGGAAAACTAATATTTTGTCAGATAATTAAGTATCATTCATCGCTTCTAAAACTGTGTTAAAAAGCGGGATTATTTTCTGGGTTATTAAACAACTATAGTCTCCTATGTTTCTTTGAGAAATTCTCACGCATAACTACGCAATGAAATCAAAAACCTAAGTAAAAGCTTAGGTTTTTACAATAACAACAATCTCTTATCTTCCCCTTTAAATTTATATAGATAGGATGAACTGGTTGACTAGTTGGAATATATAGATATCTAAGTAGTTAGCTATATGATTATTAAAAATCACGATCGAGTCCTTGTATACAAGAACTCGTCACAATATACTACTAAATGCGTAGGATGTAAAAGTAAGCTGTACTGGTAGAGAAGTTGTCACCTAAAGCCTAGTAGATTGTCGTACTATTATTAAGTGTTAAATCATCATCCATAGCTATACAGTTCACGTAGAAGGACCTAAGCTCGTTTTACGGCATTCCTTCATTCTTTTCCATTTTTTTCTTTTAACTTCCAATTGTTGACATTCATATCTCCGATCTTGTCAAACACTGTCATTGATTAATGCTTCGTTTTTACTGTCATTTTCAATGTCAAATATTGTCAGTATAATGAAAACGGGTAGTCCATATGATGTCATATTTGTATTCTTGTCATATAATGAAAACGCATTTGACACACTAGTCAATTGTAATCGTCATTTCAAATGACATAGTGAAAACAAGGTATAAGGTTTAAATAAAAGCTAAAAATTAAAATTATTTATCTATTTTTTTTTTTTAAAAGATGAGTAAACATGTATCTGAAAACTATCTTAAAAAGCATTTATGCCATACATTGTAAGACTTCTCGAAAAATTTAAAAATCTACGACATAAAAAGTGGTATCTGAACAAAGTCAGATTAAAGTGAACTAAGTACACTAAGTCAGATTAAGGCGTACATCATACCACCCACTATAATTATTCTCGTTAGACAACATACTTCTATACTATTAGAATATTAAAAAATTTCCATTATGTACATAAGTATTGCAAGCAATTTGTTCAATTTATACTTTTGGAAAATTGTTTGTCTTACTTTCATTTCATAAATTGTCACTTAAATGATATTTTAGTTTATTTAAGTTAATTGTTTTGTGTACTCACTGAGATACTATTTTTCACATAAGCATGAGATTATTTTTCTATTGTTGAGTAAATCGTATTTGTATTTCAAATGTGTAAATTCTGACACTTCAAAACAAATAACTTATTTGTATAGAATAATTATTGTATATAAATGTTATGAATTACATTAAATTAATTTATGCATAAATGTATAGAAAATTTTTAAATTAAATCATCATTACTTTATATTTAATTTAAATTTATTCCAAATAACTCTACGCGTTGCACAGATCATTAAAATGATGCCTGACGGCGGCGGATTGGATGAGCTTTACTTTATCCATATTGTGTAGATACAGTTCATTCATATTCATAAAATACTTTGAATATATTTTGTTGATTCATTACGATAGATAATATGAATTGGAATTTATATAAAATGTAAATTTTAATTCATTATTATTGTGAGAATTATATAAATATATTTATATGTATATATGTATGTATCTAAAATAGGTGTTGTGTTATATTATAAAGAAGACTTATTGTAATTATTATTTAATGAGTGATATACTCGAATGTACTCATTATCTTTATATGGATTGTATATTAAAGTTAAGACTTTTGTTTGCGTAGATTTTATTTGATTAATTAAATAGTTTTTTAAAACACATTTACTAAACAAAAATGTAAATTATAAATTATTGTATAAGACACTGTATATATTTGAATGTACTTGCTATTTAAAAACAAATCAAAATTATTGTTTATTGTTTAATGTACAATATTTAAACTTGAAGTGTACATATTTGCAATTCTCATGTACTTTGTTATTCGCATCGGTCATAAGGAATAACTGATAGTAAGAATTATATGTGTGCATAAGTTTATTTCACTGAAATGACTGACTATATACTATATAATGTGAACTCGATAATAATATTTTTATTGTATTATTTTATATAATTGTTTAATGATAAATTTATTGCACTTGCAATTGATTGTCTTAAGTGTTAGTAGGTTTTATAATTTTTGTTTTAATTAATATGAAAATAAGTAAAGTAAACAATTATAACAACTGAATGTTATCTTTTAAAAAGAATTATTATTTTTAAATATTATTTTAAAAGATCACGTTTTTTGAATTTACAATTATTATAAAAAATTTATATAGAGCGTTATCAGTTATTACTAAAACAGATTGTTGACAAATTAAGCTGTCAAATAAAAAAAAATACTACAACCATTAATTAATTTAATTAACGCACTTTAATATATAAGTGTGTAAAATATAAAATATAAACTTATCAATAACAGGATTTAGTATAATAAAATATAATAAGTACTAATTTTGTATATGTATATAGTTTATAGATGTCTCTTTTTTAGTAAAATATGATAGTGTTATATATTAATAAAAAAAACTCATGTATCTACAGTAATTAATTATATATTCTTAACACATAATATAATATATGTATATAGTTTATAGATGTCTCTTTTTTAGTAAAATATATGATAGTGTTATATATTAATAAAAAAAACTCATGTATCTACAGTAATTAATTATATATTCTTAACACATAATATAAAATACTGAAAATATTTTTTAAAATAAATTCTTAAATTTTTTATACATAGTTACAATAAAAAAAAAAATGTATATATATATCTAGAGTAAAAAATAATAATAAGTTATTATTTAAGACAGAATACTTTTAAATTAATTCATGTATAAAAAAATAATAATAAAATAATATGTTTCTATTTAAAACAGAATATTTCTAAATATATTAATTATAATTTATTCTATTTCATTAGGTTAATACTTTAACATATATAAGAAGTAATAATTTAATAAAAATTTAAACTTAGTTTAAACAACAAAATCTACTACTAATTAACTAAATAATAAAATAAATAAATAAAAAAAAATAATATAAAAAAAAACTAAAAAGGTTCCAAGAACGGCTGAGTCTACGTCCCGGGTCACTCGTCGTCTACAAACGACGACTAAGTGTCATTCGACACCTCTCAAAGGGACTTCACAAACAAGTCCCAGTGGGTCACAACAACAAGAACATTTATTCAATAATAATTAGATGTATTATTATCATTATAAATAATACCTAAGACTTCCATATTTTTATGAAGTATAAAAATTATATTTGCATTATTTTATTTTTTGTTTTGTTTATGTTTTAATAAATTAAAATTTATTAATAATTACTTTTTCTATGGTTTGCATTATATAAATACTTTAAATTATACAATTAATTATTGTTGTATTATATATATAAAAATAATTATAGTTTTTTTTTATTTAAATTGATTACTTTATAACATTTTAGATTTTATGTTAAGATATAAAAAAACACTATTATTTATTTATATTTTTAAATACTTATCAAAAATCTTTTTTTTATATAATTTAATAGCCAGCCTAGCCAATATAATAAATTGTCATTCGTTAAATTATTATGACTTCACAAGTAATAAAGTATTTTTACTGCCATTACATTATAAGTTCATTAAACTTATAATGTCGGTCGGTCATAATATATCTTGTTATTTCTAGTTACTTTCGTGTAAAATGAAAATTTTATTAATTTATTACTTTTTTTCTTTTTGTATTACAGATAACAAGCCAAAACCAGATTCGATTGAAATATATTATGTGAAAATTCGTGAGAATGGCACATTCAAAATGATCAAGCTGACATTGGAAGATATATGGAAAAATGGCTGGGAGTTAAGAATTAATAACTTTGCTGATAGAGAAAAGCAACCACATATTGAGAAGGACATACGCAATCAGGTGAGGAAAATCATAAACTAAAGGAATCAATTATACATAGAAAATGTCTTTTGCAATTCAATTGATCTACGAAAGTGAATTCGTATTAATTGCTAAGTAAACTCCTTCACTTCACCCTTGTCAACATTCTATGCACAAAAATGACATTAATAGCACAAAGTATTTTTGTTTAATTTTTTTTATATTACTTTATAATAACATATATAAAATAAAACAGATGCTATCGAGTTGTCCCAGAATTGAGATTGGTAGGAAATTAATAGATTTATGTAATATAACAAGCATATTGATTAAAATAAGATTTATTGTGTTAAGCCCATAGTTGACTTTTAAAATGTTTTAACATAAGAAGATGATATGTTATCAGTACCAAAAATAGTCTAGTGGTTGATAAAGTGAAATAACTCGAGTCCATAACTCGAAGACATACATCATTGCAATAGTGTTTTTTTACCTTTGATCAAACAGATTTTTTAAGAATTGTGAATCTTTAAGCATAGGTACAATAGAAACATCTAGAGTCATTTCTTTAGGTTTCAGTTTTATTAAAAAATTTAATTTTACGGGCATATAAAACTTACATTGGTTTAGCATACATTTCCAAGATATTTTCAAATCTATGAATATTATATATATAAGATTTTAACAAAATAATCTAATTAATTTTTATTTTTTTATCATTAAAATATTAATATACACAAAGAATTAAAAGGCAATATTTTTAATTTAAAAAATTGATATTTATCGGGAACGGATAAAACTATATGAAACTGTTATCTCTTCAATCTTAGTCAAACAATCAAGTGCAAATGTATAGAACTTTTAGGGCTTAAGTGAAGATGCTTTTCTATAAGTCGGGCTGCCATTTGAAAGTGTGGCCCGCTTCTTCCAACAGAAAAAGTAGCTTTTCAATGTGGATTGCTATAATAACAACAGTTATATAGGATGAACTTCTACATTATAGGGTAAAATTTTAACCATTATATAAATAGGTTAAACTGGTTTGACAACTTGTCATTTATAGACTATTGGATCCTTAGTGAAACTAACATTAAAAATTACTAGAACTTAAAATGATTAAGTTATATATTTTATTTTTTATATTTTTAGGTCTCCTTTGCCCGAAAAGCCAAAAATAGTCTCTGGAATAATAATAAGCATTTCGTTTACTGGTGCCGGTATGGCAGTCGTCAACAAGATGTCAGAAAAAGACAGGTATATAAATCTATAAAACTATAGATTATATTATAGAACTATAAAATAATATATATTTTTATTACTAGATGTCAGAGTGTGTAAAATGGGGCAGCGTTGGAATGAATGCGGGCATGTTGCTTGTGATGAATAAACAGAAATCATATTCCACTTCAAAATAAAAACTGCTTACTTTAAATACAATCAATCAAAAGAAAAGATTAGAGCGCATTCTTTATATGTGAACGGTTGTGAAAAAGAAAAACAATGGAGTATATATATACAATATTAAAAATAAGACCTTCACAATAATTAAGAATTGTGGTCTCGTGATAAGATAAAAGCCAATCAAAATGCAAAAAATACAAAATACAAACATTAAAATCGCACTGTTAATGCAAACCAGATATGAGGATTTACGCCTACTACGAACTGAAGTGAAAGTATTACAAACTTGGAATATATATGTATGTTTTATATATGTATACCCACATATATATCTACATAATATACAAGAATTAAAATTTTTAAATTTAATTACATCGCAGGACGTTGTATAAACTATTGATGATAAAGCATTGATTGTAATTGAACTCCATAAGTTTATTAAGTTTCAGCTGAATCATATGAACACAGAGAATTTTACTTATGGATATTGCTCCTTTTGGACACATATACACTGTGAATTTAAAAAGACTTATTTTTTTATTTTTATTTTAGTGATAATTTTAAATTATCTACTAAATTATTTTGTTATTAAAATAAATATATATATATATACAACCAGATTTACTTTATATCACTTGAATGCTAGTTTTTTAAATGTGATTTGTTACATTTTTCTACATTTAAGTCAAGCATATTGTTTTATTATAAAATTTAGTAAATTCTATATGTTTTTGTATGTTGCAAAAGAATTGTATTTTACTAAAGCAAACGATATGATATTAAACATGATATATATATACATAGATATATACAACGACATCATATAGCATATATAGTTTTTAAATCGAAAATATATTTAATTCAGCTCATTTTTATAAATACCATAAATGTATAGATAAATGCTTGGCATTTGTACGCTTCATATAAATTGCGTGTATTAGTTATAAGTAAACATTTTATCATTTTATTATTATTTCATATTAATATTTAGTATTTATAAAATTTGTACCTGTAAAATTGTAAGTGGTTATAATATATCATTAAGAACAAATATTTTAATAAATTATAATAAATCTTGAGTCTTGTTTTATTATTTTTTACGAATAGTATGTTTGGGATCTAGAAAGGAGATAACATGAAAGGATTTACACGACGAATACAAGGGTTAGGATATGGATAGGTGATAGTAGAGAGGCAATTGTGGGTGGCGGTAAATTGGGGATGGGTGTTCGGAAGGAGAAACCTGACCACTTCAATTAAGTGGGTCCAAAGGTCGACTCAACGGAGGTTTGTGTGTGCAGTGGGGCAAGACAAAAGAATAATAAGACACGGATGCTTGATGGGTGCGATTTAAGTGAAAATAACTTGGATCAAAACAGAGAAATGTCACTTGAATAAGTCGAAGCCAAAGATCAATTAAGCTTAAAAAAGTGTGGATTGGAACTTAAGAGCACATGGGCAGCATCATTGGAAGTAGAGCTGCACACGTTGGGTATATTGATATATTTATGCATTTATCACTGGAGATTTCAAGCGGAGGCTTTTTGAGAGCTTATTGTTCTGTCAGTTGATGATATTTCGTTTAATATTAAACGAAAGTTAATCTTATTTAAATAAGCCTATTTAAAACAATGTTCTTTCCATTTTATGAAATAATAATGTTTATGAAGTGTGAAGGAGATAAGGATTGAATATCAAGTTTTAGGAACCTTCAAACCGTAGTGTGAGAAAACCAAATATTAGACTAGTATACATAGTGTGGCAATAGAATAGGAGGATAAACATGGACTGTAAGATCACAGTTTGAATAATGGATCTTATGTGAGGAAGAAATATAGATATATAAATTTAACAACAACTATAGAAATTATGTGAATATTTATATATCTGTAGTTTATGTACACTTGGTGAATGGAAATCAAGTACAAAGTTAGCTTATCGTGTTTCAGATTTGAAATAGTACAATATTTGAAACTTGCAATCAAATCAGATAGTGGATATTTGGCAATATCTGAAATAGTATTGTGAACTTAATTTTATTTCTTTTCTATTTGAAATAGATACTTTGTCATGGTCACATAGTTTTAATTAGAACATTTTTAATAAATTTTTGATACTGATTGCTACCAATTTTGTCGTATCGAAAAAGTTATAAATGATAATAAAAATAATTAAATTAACTACTAACCTCCCGTAATAATCCGAAAAGTACATCTGTTGAAAGTGAACGTTCATGTGCTTCGTCCATAATTATTGCAGAATATCCATCAAGATCAGGATCTCTTAAACTTTCACGTAACAGAATACCATCTGTCATATATTTAATAACAGTTTTTTCCGAAGTACAGTCTTCAAAACGTATAGCATAGCCAACTTCTTCACCTGAAATTTATACAATTTTAAGAGTAACTAATTGTAACGTAGACAAATATATAGAATCTTACCTAACTTTGTACCCATTTCATCAGAAACACGTTTAGCCACTGACATAGCGGCTACACGTCTCGGTTGTGTACAACCAATCATACCAAAATTACTGTAACCATCTTCATGTAGGTATTGTGTTAACTGCGTTGTTTTACCGCTACCAGTTTCACCAACAATAATAATAACCGAATTCTCACGTATAATATTTAATAATTCTTGACGTACTGCAAATACAGGTAAGAACCGACGTTGTTCACCAATTGTTTTCTTTCGAGCGAAATCACTTTTTCCTCTAGAGTCCTGTTCACGCATATGTTCTGCGAATTTTTGATCACGCCTATAGTCAGCAGTATCATTTTCATTGTCAAATTTTTCATCTTCTTCTTCCACTTTCTTTTCAATACCCATTATATTACCCAGTTTCGTGCCTCCAAGTTCCCAGTGTTTTTTCTGTGCTTTACGTCGTTCTTTTTGCTCACGATAAACACGCACCAAAGGGCTACCTTTGCGTGCAATCAATGCCATATCTGATGTGGGATCTTTCACCGGTATAACCGGCTCAGGTTGCTTAGTAAATACAATGCGACCATCCAAGAAAGGTGGCACAATATGATGTACCAAAAGATGTACGCGTTCCAACGCTTCTTCATCAAAATCTTCATTAACATTAATTGACATAACAACACCGGACGTAAGCATACGATTGCGTTCCCATAATTCATTATCTTTATTGATTTGACGTTGTTGTGCACTTATGCGTTTAGTACGTTTCTGTTCAATAATTTCTTCACGTTTCCTGCAATTATACATAAATAAATATTAACACACAATTTTTTTATATAATTTAATATTACAAACCTAAAGTATTCTGCATTTGCGCCATAAAATGGATTATTTTCCTCATCATAACCTTCATCAATATTATACCACTCGCGGTCTAGTCGACGTTGTTCCTCTTCCCACAAATCTCGATCTTCTTCACTTTCGCCCCATGGTTGACGTGTACTACTTTGTTCGTTAGCTGGCGTAGCGCCAGAACGTTTTCTATCATTGGCCCAAGAATTGTATTTGTGTGCTGGTGTAGGTCTAACAGTATCATCTTCATTGCGTCGACTTTTGTGAGAACGACTACGACTACTACTGCTACTATTAAAACCACTACTCATACTACTGCGAACAGACCAATCACCACGTTCTGAGCTAGCATATGATTTCGGCGTAGGATAATCCCATGATGACTTTTTAGAATGTGAAGGACGTTCACCATCATCTTCATCCCAAGAACTATTTGATACTGAAATTGAGGATGGAGTACGCGGCTCATCTCTATTACGTGGAGTATGTTGTTCACGAGATGATCTTGAACTTCTATTTCTACCTTCCGCATCTCGATTACGTCTATTTCTATCATAATCCCGATCTCTATCTCTTTCACGATCATGTCTTCGATCTCTATCACGCTTATGTTTGTTTCTATCGTTGTGGTCGTGGGTTGAATACCTTACACCACCTTTATTACGAACTCGATTAATATGTTCACGGAGTCTTTCGCGCGCTTGTTCCGAAACACCGCCAGTATGCGAAGGTGTCTCAACTTTTTGTTCACGTATTTGTTTACTTATTTTTTGATAACTTTGCGTGTCAGGTTTTTTGAAAGCAAAATCACTGCTAGTTGGTGTAGCCAAAGCTGTATTGTCAGTGTCATCATAATCATTGTCTTTAAACGAAATTAGGCGTTGCGTTCCTTCCCGCTCTTTACGACGTTGTGCTGCCAATTTGTCAAGACCAAGTATTGATGGCATAGGAATTTTAAATTTACTATCACCGGTATCTTTTTTTTTAATAATCAGACCACCGCGGAAGTCATTATTTGTGCCCTCCAATCGATGTATATTAGTTTCATCATCCGCCATTTATATAATTAATATGTTAGGAATAATAATAACTTTTATTTAGTCATAAAACTCAAAACCAAATGTTTGCTACTAAACGTTTACAAACCACAAACAGCTGACCGCAGATTCAGGGTTGCCAATATTGTTCAAATAAAAATACAAAATATTTGGAATAAATAAATATTATAATTGAAGTTTGTATTAATTGTTAATGTCGTATAAACGCAATTTTTGATATGCTTTCATATAAAATAAATGCAATTTGACTTATTTTAATTTTTAAATAATACAAGTGAACGAACTCAATAAGATAATTCAACAAATAATATAAATTTTTTTTTCGGTAAATGGAAAGCATAGTATGAGATTGTAATATACTAAAACCACTTCGGAATCCAAAATGAACAAATTCCAGCTATTGAGCCGTTAAGGTCAAACGCTGAAAACTCCATTCCGATTACCAAGAAAAAGGCAGACATTAAAATACAGAACGCTTAGTATTTACACAGCAAATATATCGAAACCGAATTTGTATATAAGTGTGATATAGTTACAGTATATAATTTTAAATTAATTTATTTAAAATAATGCAATTGTGTGATAATTACAGTGTACAATTTCAAAGTAATTTGTATATGAATAAATTAATAATGATTATATATGAATATTGCCACCTTCAATTTATGGTAGGAATATAGTAATTATATTATAAGTTTGTTAACTTAAGTCCATAAAAGTGGAGTCAATTCGGATTACTGAAACATTTGAACTGTCTCTCATATTAAAAATCCAGAAAAAAATCAATATATAATATTTATAAAATATTTATATAAATGTTTTAACAGCAAAAACTGAATAAAAATTAAACAATTTATTTCTCATTCAATTGTATGAAATATACATGTGCAAATAACCCATAAACACATCACTGGACTATCGAGCAGTCATGTTTATAATATGTGACGCGAATTAGCGAATAAATGCATATCTTGCATTTTCTATTTTGGTTCAGGTTCCAAGAGCGGTCAGGTTTATGTCCCGAAGCCATTTATCGCCAGAGACGACCAAGTACCGTTCAACTCCTCCCAAAAGGACTTCACAAGCAGGTTCCAGCAACAACAACAATAAGGCTCATATTTTGCATTTTCTAATTTGATCCAAATTATGAAGAAATCAAAAATCTGACTAGCGGAAATCTACTATATTATATATAAATCACCCGAGACTAACATTCTTTGTTATTGTTTGTGCACTTGTTTGCTGAGTTCTCACCATTCGTCTCACAACAATTAAGGTGAGCAACATTTGATCATAAATACAGACGATGTACAATAAATGTTAATAAAAAATGCTTGTTTTCAGTGCTAATGGTTGTTTGTGTAGATAGGTGGGTTCTATATGTATATAATTCTATATAATCCTCTACTACTCCCTTTGTTTAAGTCTTGTTAACCTTAAGTGGCATCTACACCAAAGCGAACGCTTTCGAACGAACGAACATTTGCAGTTATTCGTAGTATCATCCTTTGCAAACTATGAAAGAATAACACATAATTTTATAATTTTATCTACAAATATTTGTAAATCTTTTATTACATTATTCTTTCAATAAAAAAAATCTCTTACATATAACATTTTTTATATGCACTGCATATTTGTATACAATTAAATATCTTTAAATTAATTAAAATGTATAATACATGTAAAAAAAACATTTAAAAATTATTTTTTATATTATTTTTTATAAATTTTTCTATTCACCAACAAGTTAAGTACATAAAACGATATTGTCTTACTGAAAGGAATGATAATATATATGAGCACATTTAATCAACTTTATAAAAACATTCCGTAGCTAAAGGTTCACAATTATCATATGACTTAATCATTACATCTGTAGCATCAAGTTTATCTTGATGTACACAAGCACAGCGAAAAGTGTCGCGTCCCAATTCGAACAGTTTTCTTGGATACCCAGCCCAATCCCGTTCTTTACCGCCACTACTATTTGTACACCAAACTCGCGTTTGGCTCGTCTCAGCATTCCATTGTATATTACAATCCGGATATGATACACGTGAACGATCACTTTCAATTTTTTCTTGCTTGGCTTGATCTAGCAATGCTAAAAATTTGTGATGATAAGAAGTTAACGCACCAGAATTATCATAAAAGCGTCCAATCAATTTCCCAACATATGCATAATCTTTATGATAAAAATTCTTCCAGTTTTCTAAACCTAATAAATCATTTAATTTTAACACAACAACATCGTCTGCTTCATCTTCAACGAAATTCTCGAATTCTCCAGTAATAAAGGAAACAGAAGCATCACGTCCTATAAAGAAATTATAAGAACAACCTGGTCCGTAATGTTTCAAACCTTTGGTGACATCAAATACGTCTCCAAGTAGTGCAAGATATAATGGTGCTCCATTTTCACCATTGTATTTGGCAAGTTCAGCTTTAGTAAATAATGTTTCAGCAATTTGTTTATCGCTTTCGTAATTGATTGGAATTTCAGCTTCTGTTGTAAAAATAAAATTTTTATGCCATGCCAATATTTCCTGGTAGTAAACACCGACAATGACGGCAAGAATTACAAACAAAAATTGCAATTTAAATATCGGTTTCAAAAAACTGAGCATTTTGTTTTAATTAAGGCACGATGTTGTATTATTATTTGTTATTATCAATATAAAAGCTAAATTAAATGCGTATTCATCCTTTGGTTTTGTTAATAATAATATTATTTATTTTAGTTGATTGATTTCTGTTTATGTTTGTGAGTGACGTTTGTGAGTGACGTTTGTTGCTGTCAAAATATTGCAGGGCGCTTCTTACTTAAGAATTTCATTTCATTATTATGTGTAGATGCATTTCTGTTATGTTCCACATTTGAATTATAGTTTTTGATTAATTATTTTTAATTATTAATTTTATTTATGTTCCAGTACGGAATCATTTTTAAAATATATAAATTTGTTATATATTTTTAAGATTTATTATTTTAATGACTAGATTTTACATAGTATATAGTATATAAAGAGTATATAGAACAGAATATAGAAAACGGACGCTTATTCTGCTAAAAATTAGTACTAAAACTAATATTTTGAATAATACTAACAATTAACTCTAAAATGTTAAAACTAACATTTTCAAGATTTTGTGGAACATATTTTATTACGTAAAGTTTTACGTGTTTTCGTGTGAAATGGATGCTAGTGCTAGGTTTAAAAGCAAATAAAATATTTACGTTGATGTTCTAACATTTGCAGATGTTAATAATAATTCCTAATAACACATAATTACATTTATAATCCAAAGAAAAACATTAGCTAAACTTGGTAGCATTGGATTTTAAAAAATTTTTGTACAGCGGCTAATTTCAAATGAAACGTTTGAAGTAAAATTTTTAATTTTTATTCTTAAGAAATATATTACACAATTCAGTTTGATTTTTATTCTGGTTTTATGTATAAAAAATACAAACATTTTGGCTTTTTCTATGTTCAGAAATATGAAATTGTAAAACATTTAAAATTCGCTTAAAGATACTTTACTACAAATAAAAAGAGTGTGGTCTACCTCTGATTAAACTTTAACTATCGTTAGGGAAATTCAAATTTAATTACGGTTAATAGTGAAGTCGGCTTAAAATCACAGCAAAAATGCATCAAATTCGTTTGGACAAAGTAATATATCTATATACATGCTTGTTCTTACTAATAGTAATAAAATTTGTGTGTGCTATTTCAGAAAATGGACAAGGTCGTTGATGGCGCCATAGAAGAAGAGATCTTGCATACTCGAGAGATTAAAAAGCATCACTCAATTTTAAAAATTGAAGCAAATACCACCTCACCGGAAAATTTGTATGAGTAAGTTTTGTCTAAAAATTATATATATTTCAAGCTTTTTAATTCAAACTGTCGTCTGATTTTTAGTAACCTCTTTTGTTCAAGTTTGAACTTCTTGAATTATTCAGAAACCGAAATTGATACACATAATAAAGTTAAAAAACTTGGTAAGTATTTTAAATGGTAAAAAGTTAGCAAAAAACATCAAACTTTGCCTCAATCCTTTACTCCGCTGGGAGCTAGCACCCCATTTATTCTTAGGGTATGGAACTTCTAATCAAGAAATTTTTTTTTAGCCTTTTAAATATATTTATATTTTTAAACAATTAATACAAAACTACTTAGATTAAACTCATATATTCTAAAATTAAATCAGCTTTTCGAAAACATCTCCATACTATTATCATTTTATAATCATAATCATTTTTTTGATGTATTATGGTTTATATATTATGGATTATAAGATTTCTATTAAAAATTATATCTGCCTATAAGATAGTGTCTTCTTTGATGTGCTGAGAAAAATTTGTATGAGATTTGAACGGAAAGAATTGGAATTATTGCATTTGCAGGAATTATAATAGACTTGTAGGAAGTCAATACAAGGCTTTTTGGGTGGGTTTTACTTCAATCCACTGAAGATTGTTCTTCAATCTTCGAAATTTAATTGTAATTCCATGCTTTATTAATAGCTATGAGTAAAGTCTAATACTAATAAAAACTGTTCTAAAATATCCAAATTTTGTGGATCATTTGTTTTATATGGAGTTTTATGTCAATTTTCTGCTCGAAATGGATGCAAGTTATTGTTTAAGTTAGAAACAGAAAATTGTTATGATATTTAGTTGCACACGGAAATGGGAGATGTGGTAGTAAATCATAGATTAACAGGTTACTAGTTATTGTTCGACCTGAGCAAAAATCTGAAGAATTTTACAGGAGTCGCTACAATATTAAGTTACCCTAAGTTTTGGAGGGGAGCATCATTAGACTGAGATTCATAGATTCTAAAATCTATATATAGTAATTCTGTATTTAAATTTTTAGTTGATATATATATATATATATTACAATCTTTGCTTGATAATTTAAATTAAGTATAATATATTTTTTTATTATAAAGATCACTCGGTTTTAGCAAATAAAAATAGACCCAGGATCTTATCTCAAATAAAACCGCCATGTAAAAAAACAAGTAAATTGGAAAAATTCAAAGAAATATCTTTGGATGATATGGGATTTAATTGTCATGTAGTGAAAGATTGGGATCATATTAAACAACCTTTCAAAGAAAGTCTCTCTGTGCTTTTAAGAAGAATGGTTCACAAAAATGAAATGGCTAACGTTGAAATTCGCATTGGTCCAATGAAGTTCCGTTGTCATCTTATTGTATTGCAGTGCTACTCGTCATATTTTAACAAATGTAAAAATGAGACGTGTATATATCTTCCAGAAAATTTCGTTTCTCCAGGTTCATTTATGATGCTCTACAATTGGATGTTGAGTGAAAATCCATTATTGGAACGAGAAGGAATTTTGGAGTTGTTTATTGCAGCCTCATTTTTAGGTGTTACCTCTTTGATCAACCACTGTTGGATATGTCTTGACGATGACGAACGATTCCGTGAAGATTCAGCATTCATGTTATATTTGGAAGCACGTGATTATGGTTTAAGTGATATACAGGAATTGATGCTCCGACGTATATGTAAGTTTTTCCTTATATTGGTGGCATCAAAGGAGTTTCTTCTACTGAAGCCTTACGAAATCAAAATATTATTACAGTCGAATAATATTGGTGCAAACTCTGAAGTTGAGGTAACTTATTTAATTTAATTTTGTTGAAATTTTTTTTAACTTATTTTAATTTTTATAAATTGTTAAGATATTTTTGTCGATGGTACGTTGGCTGAATCACGATTGGGTTGATAGGAAGAAACTGGCTGTTAGTGTAATGAAACGTATACGATTTAGTTTAATGCCACCATGGTACCTGGTGACACTTAATAAAAAAAATGATTGTCCTGATACTGATCGTGTAATAGATTTTCCCGAAGTTAAGAAATTTATCGGCGATGCGATTTCGTAAGTTATATGTTTTCGGTTTGCAATTGTTATTTATTAAAATGAATTTTTAAAATTGTTTTTAATTAATTTAATTTTTTAATAGGTTCACTACCACTCAGATGTATTATGGTAATAATAAGGAAGATTTTATGTTCTTCTTGGAAAAGTATAATTTGCATACACCACCTCAACGTCAATGGATTATTGATTTAAAATGTTTTTATCATCACCGTCTCGATTGTTCTAATATGCAGTATATTACTTACCAGAGTTTTAAGGAGTATCTGAAACAAATTCAACGTGCCGGCGTCGATTACTGGCGTACCTTCTTCTTGATCCAAGATACTGATGATTGTATACAATGCTGCACTTCTGTAGATAACGACAAAATTGCCACTAAATTTAATGCCGTATGTGAAATTTAAATTTGAATCGATATTTAAATTTAAAATTTTAAAAAATTTTGTATAAATTTTCAAATGTTTATAAATTTTAGTCAAAATAAATTTTACAATTGTTTTTAAAGATATTTAATCATTTCCATACATATATATATGTACATATTTTCTATTTAATAATTATTTAAGTGAAAAGTTTATTAGTGGAGAGAAAGTTATGTGCAATTGATAGATATTATCAAAATATTTAATAGAGAGATATATGTTTATAGATAATTTATTTATTATTTAAAAGATATTTAATAAATCAACATATTTTAAGGAAAACCCATCTGTCCGGTAGGTTTTTGTTTGCCGACATAATCCCAATCCTTATTCTAATCCTTATTCTAATCCTAAATCTAATCATTCTAATCAATTTAAATCTAATCTAAATGTAATCAATTATTTTAGTAGTTTTCTCAATGTATTATATTTATTATATAAATATATATATATATATAAATACATATATGAATATATATTTCATATATTTCATTAATTTGTTTCAAATTCCAGGTTTTTTTTTTAATTATAATTTTTGTTAAGTTTATGAGTTCAGCTATAGATAATTATTTTCAGAAGTATTTTTTAAAATATAATGAATTATATTACATTGAGCATAATAAAACCGTTTGCAAAATATCATCTGGAAGTAGCACCATTAGCTCATTCATCTTTTTTTTCATGATCAAAAACTACGTTTATCGTATATATATGCATCCAAACCCACTGGTTACACATTTGATGTCCCCCTCCAACACTTTCATAAGGCTGAGAAGAAAAATTTCGAGAGACATCTTAAATGTATATATGGATATGTCACTGGGCATAATCCACACACCCCTTTCTTTCTTTAGATCGTACCAAGTATTACTTATTGTCATTTATACTTGACAGATTGTAATAAAATAGATGGATTCAAAACAAAAAAAATCTATATTTTCACCGAATGAGTTTTCGTGTCAAATCACGGTTCACTAATAAAGTTAGTATTATCAAGTTAACTAGTTAACTTTGGAAAAATTTCTCCAAATGCTACATAATAGATCTCAAAAGCTGTGGAGCAACACATAAGCGTAGTCGGGAAGAGGAGCCGAAAGGAGCAAGGAACAATTTTCGTGAAATCCAACAAGGAAGAAACGAAGAAAATATTAGAGTACAATAATTTTAATCATCATCAATAAAGTTCTAATTCTAATAGAAATGAAGAATCTATTATTACAATATATTATTTACTAAAAACAAATTTATTCATTAAAATTCGCTTTGGGTAGATTTTAAAGACAAATTACACCACCCAAATGTATAATTTGGCTCGTCCATGGTGTGCTTATGTACTTATGAATCAGTAAATAATATAAGATATTTTTCTTGTGAATGTTTATTAACAAAGTTTCAAATAAATCTTAATCCAACTAATTATTTTATGTATAATAATTTATGAGTGGGCTAATTGGTCATTTAAATAAAAATAAAAAAACTACAATTTATTTTTATATTTAAAACAAATTATATTTTATTAAGATATTTTCCGATATTTGAAGTATCTTCGATAGTCATCTTCAGGGAAATTCAGTCAGAAATATCCGTCTTATCTTAAATTGTCTTCTTTAGCAACAATTTATTCCCTAAAGAGGTACGAAATATTCAATATTTATAGTTAAAGAAGCTTAATGGATAGCTAGTTAGTTAATTAGTTAGTTAGTCTTTAAGTTAGTCTGTAGTTAGCTAAATAGGTTGGATGGAAGTTGCGGCCCCATCCACCAAAGCTCCCTTGAGCTCAAGTAATGACCGATTGTGATAACTAAGTTTAATGAGAAGATAGAGATCACTTAGTTTTAATCACACACGATCTCTTTAAGATTTTTAATTTACTAGGTTTAATGTTAATTTAAGAATTACTAATTTGAATTTTATTCTTATTAATATTTCTATATAATTTAAATGTTTTAAAATACTTTTTATTATTATTTTATTATTTTAATTATTTTAATTATTTTAATTATTATTTTAATATTATGGTACAATAGTGTATTACCTGTAGAGCTCTTCAACAATGTTTTTTTTTCAATTTTATTTTGTTATTTAAAAACTATAATTATTTATATATCTGTTTTACATAAGATCAAATATAAATATAACTTACTAAGTAAGCGTTGCAATATATAAATTCTGACATATATAATACAATTTTTTTATTTTTATAGGAAAAAAATTTAAATTAAATATATTTACATATATTTTCTCTTATTTTATGAATCGAACTATATATTAATAAACTTTAAAACCACAATTGGGTTCTAGGTATATGATAATACTGCAACAAATTATTGGAACTCTTCATCCAACAAAAAAATAAAAAAACAACAAAGGTTAGTTATATTCATAGTTTATCGTATTATGTATTTTAATATATATAAAATATATAAATGTGCAATATATTTTATGTATATATAAATATATTATGCAATTATATAATTATATATATTATCACCGATTATAATATGCGTACCTAATTATTCTATTTATATATAAATAATATATTATAAAAAATATATATTTTTTTAATTCTATAATATTAGATTATTTCAACAGTAAAATTGTAAGAGATATGGATGCAGATTATGCTGACAATGGTGACTTTCTCGAAAGCAATGGAAAAGAGTAAGTTGGTATCAAACCAAATTATAAACCCTCTAACACTCATATTGTACTTATAGCCAGCAATTAGACAATTATCAGTTGAAAAAGTCACAATTTAAAGTAGACCGTAACAAATCTATCGATAATCATGCTAAAAACTCCAAAATACCTAATATAAAGTTTGAAGAAAATAATTATGAGTTTAATGATGAGCATAAACACAAAGATAATGTTGGTGATGATTATGATCATAATAATTATGAAGAACAATGTTATGACAGCAATTGTAATAATGTTTGTAAATCCGAGTTTATTCAAAATAATGATTCATCTGGCAATGATAACTGTGATTACGATAAAAATGTTTGTAAGATCCATCAGATTAAGAATAGTTCTAGAACAACTCCATGTATTAGTAATACTTTTGCTGATGATGGTCAGAATTCTGTTACTCAAAATGATTCCAAAACAATTTCTGAAATGAAAATTCGGAATGACATTATACGGATTGATGACAACTATAAAAATCTTTGCAGCAAACATTATAAATATCTTCACGACGCTGTAATTGATACTTCTGAAACAAATGATCTTCAATGTCGCAATCTTAACAGTAACGATGTCATTGATTCAAATTTGAATCCAAGTATTGGGACTCAAAATAATCAAATTAAACATTCCTGTGGTAAAGCAAATCATGATTTAATTATACAGGAAAATGTCACTGGAACTAACGATATCGATAGCCATTGCAATCAACATAATGAGCATATTCATAGTTCTAATATTTCCGAATACTACAGCAGGGATCAACAGTATCAGAATTATGAAAATAACTTTGTAGATCAAACATGTATGAAGCACAATACTATGACGAGCAGAGATACTAAAAAAATGTCAGACAATACATCTCATAATTTAAGGGCACCGTTAAATGCTACTACAATCCCTAATGATAATTACCGACACTGTGAAACGCATCGTCAACATAAAAATGAGAATACTATTGTTATTCAAAAACCTTACAATAAATTCACATATCAGAATAATAATAATCATCCTGAAAATATAAATAATTTAAATCAACAAAACAATAAACCTAATCTATTTAATCGCAACGAGATGTATGATAACCAGACAGCTAACTCAGATGTGAAAGATAATTTTAATTGCAATTCAAACATTGATGAAAGCAAATATTTTGAGGAAATTGATCATTTAAATGAATATAAAAATCGACAACAATGTTCACAAAGGAGTCCCCAAGTTCAGTCAGAATTATCTCAGCAAGGAAAGCAGAGCTTACAAGCAAATTGTAGTCACAATGATAACGTAAGAAAATCAAGGCTTACAGTTCCTAAAATTGATTGTAACCACATGGAAAAATATGCTGGAAATAATACTTCTCAACAGGAACATCTGAATCAGTATATAGGATATAGTCACAATCATAATGTCAGAAAATCTAGACTGACAGTTCCTAAAATTGATTGTAACCACATGAAGAACTATTCTGGAAATAATACTTCTCAACAGGAACATATGAATCAGTATATAGCATATAGTCACACTGATAATGTCAGAAAATCAAGACTGACAGTTTCTAAAATTGATTGCAATCAGATGGAAAACTATGCTGGAAATAATACTTCTCAACAGGAAAGCCTGAATCGGTGTATAGGATATGGTTGCAATGATAATGTAAGAAAATCAAGGCTTACAGTTCCTAAAAAAGATTGTAACCAAATGGAAAACTATGCTGGAAATAATACTTCTCAACAAGAAAACGTGAATCAATGTATAGGTTATGATCGCAATGCTAGTGTAAGAAATTCAAGGCTTACAGCTCCAAAAATTGATTGCGAACACAAAGAATACTACGCTGGAAATAATACTTCTCAACAGGAAAACCTGAATCAGTCTATAGGATTTGGTCGCAATGATAATGTAAGAAAGTCAAGACTGACAGTCACTAAAATTGATTATAACCACATGGAAACCTATGCTGAAAATAATACTTCGCAACAGGAAAACATGAATCAGTGTATAGGATATGGTTACAGTAATAATGTAAGGAAAACAAAACTTACAACTTCAAAGAATGAATATAAACAGAATATAACCAGCTTAACTGGAAGTAATATCTCTCAACAGGGAAACCATAACATGCCAACAAGATATGTTTGTGATGATAATGTTAGGAAATCAAGACTTACAGTTCCCAGTAATAATAATAATCGAACGGAAAACTATTATACATATGAAGAGGGAAATCGTAATACACAAATAAAATGTGGTCACAACGATAATGTAAGGAAAACAAGGCTTACAGTTCCCAATAACGAATACAATCGAATGGAAAAGTATGATAGATCTCAACAGGGCAACCTAAGAAGATTAACTACACATGGCTATAACAATAATGTAAGTGAAACTAAACTTACATCTACAAATTATAACAATAATCAATCGGAAAATGCTACCATAAGCAATACATTTGAAGAAATTCCAGATGAAGTAGTAAAGCAGGAGTAAGTACAATTAATTTTACATAGTTTATATGTTACTTAATATTAGTATAAGATATATAAGATAGGTCTATCTGAGGGTAAAGATTGTCGTACCTGCCTATATTAGAATGTAACTTCTAGTTATATTATGTGTGACTCTCCAATTTCGATCCGAGCGAAAGGAAAAATATTAGTCTGCAATTTTATATCCCTAACTGCTATTAGATGAGGATATAGATTGTTCTTTTTGCTAATACAAGGATGTGATTTCTAGTTACAACATTTGTCACTATTCTTGTGCTTTAATGTGGACCAGAAGGACAATACTTATCTTGGAGTTTATATCCCTAACTGATATTATAAAACCTTCAACGAGAGAATTTAGGGATCACGTTCGAATCTGGTTACTTATTGTTCAGTTAGAGCAAGTTATTAGCACAAAAGATTTACTATGTAGTACTTTGTTCCACTGGGAGCTTATAATCCAATTATCTTTTATTCTAATTGTGAACAAACACTTTTTTAAATTAATTTTATAATTTTTTATTTTAATTAAATTGATATAGGTACAGTCAAACTTTCATAATTCGATGTACCATTTTGCAAAAAAAAGGTTCGACTTATGAAGACTTCGAGTTAAAGAAGTTTTTATAAAGTCTTTTTATAATTGTATGTAATTTACTGTCTGAAACCTGTTGCACTCTATTTAGTTCGATTTATAGAAAAGATCCGATCAAAAATACATAAGGGACAGAGCCCTGAAGTTATATGTGAAAACTGACAGGCTGTAGGATATTAGCACTATCTAATCTTAGAGTAATCACTCTCCGCACGGGGAGGTACGCAGATCTTAGATCAATCACTGAATAATCATGAAGCTTATAAGGAATACATAAATTAGTCAATGAGATAGGTAGGACTCTGCAGTACTCCCAGCTATCAAAAAGTAGAAGTGTCTAGTTGCGCTGACTCGAAAAAAGGATCAACATACATATATACATTTATAGAAAATTCGAGTTAAAGAAGTTCGAGTTATGGAAGTTTGACTGTTTATTATATATATCAACAACACAATATTAATCAATACAACACAGCCAGCCTATTGTGAATCTACATTGGGATCTACAGTCATGGTGACAACTTTTTACAATATATTTCTTATGATCCATTTGAGATGCGAAACTACTGAAGTTCATCATACTATATATTATAAATATAATTTTTAGGAAGGAAATAAAGGAAATAAAAAGGAAAAAAATAAAACTAGGAAGGATATAAAACTTTTTCGCAGAATACATGTTGTCCAGGCATATATTACATTCTTAAATCATATTCTCAATATCTTCTCATAAGTCAGATATTGAAGATAGTTCTATTATATGTTCTGGTACACATATACATATGAAGAAAATATAAATTAAAATTACATATTCAAATTCAAAGCTGACAAATATTTTCTTGACTTTACGTTATTATATATTCTTTCACAGCGCTGAAGATCAAATTATAATCTTTGGTGGTGTGAATTCTAATTGCACTTATTGTGAAGAGGAATGCAATCAAGAGTGTTCATATCCAATATCACAACATCCATACAATTTTTACGATGGTGATGATCAAGTGTTGTATTACACACAAAATGCAAAAAAATGGTCAAATTTAAGTAGAGTACCTGGTGGATCTCGTGCTCATCACGTAGTGGTGACATGCAATGGACTTGTTTATTTAATTGGTGGTGCAACTATGACAGAAGGTTGTCCAAATAATTTGGTAAATTTTTGTCAAATTAGATATATACTACTCACTCTGTTTTGCTAAGTTATAGCAAGTTGTGAGGGCGAGAACACCTCTGTTGCAGAATTGCAATATTACAATGAAACAGCTGTTTTTGCAACATACCATAGCAACAGATGTCAAAACAGCTTTCCATATCTACATGGGAAGCTACAGATGTCAAAACAGCTGTTTTTTTTGTATATATACATGCATATATGTATACTTGGGTTTACATATAGCAAGATTGCAATAAACTTTGTGCTTGTATTTTGTTGTTGTCCATTGCAAGCTCGCGCAATCTGTGCCTTTCGTGCACCTTGCAATGAATTTGCAAGACAGAGTGAATACCCTTATTATATATATTCATAATTTTTTGCAATAGTAAAATTTAACAACTTTTATTTTTTTTTTATTTCTCAAATTATTAAAAAGGTTTTTGAAAAATCCGTGTGGAGTTATAATCCGAATACTTTCGAGTGGTTTCAAGAAGTAGATATACCTGAGTTACGACGCGATTTTGCTGCAGTGGCAATTGACAATATTGTCAAGAGTGAGCTAAATTCAAACTGTAGCAATCTGCCAATTGGAATTTTCGTAATCGGCGGAGAAGATCCAGACCAAGTCGCACTAAATACGGTGTGGTTTTATAATATTGAAAGAAAAGTCTGGCATAAGGTATTTGAAACTTCTTTTATAAGCAATTATTTAATTAATTAAATTTTTATAAAATGTTTGCATTTCGTTTAAGATGCCGTCGCTGAGTTTGGGATGTTATGGTTTGACTGCTGTTGTGTTCAGAAACGAAATTTGGACAGCTGGTGGCATTACTCAAATAAAAGGGCGTAATAGACTGATAGAAAAATTATCTGACGCAATGGAATGTATACCACTCACTAATATAAAAAACAGGAAATGGGTTTCATCACGTACACGTTTACGTATACCAAGGTACTTTTTATTTTTATAATTAATAAAAATCAAATTTTTCAATAATCTTACTACAAGGGTTTTTGGAAGATTCTGCAAGGTATCCCCAACTGAATTGCTTTTGATTGGTGGTTTATGTAATAATGAAGAAAATATATGTGTTTCTGTTGACTTGATTGATTTTTTTAATCCGAATACTAAGTTATGGGAATATTTGGGTAACTTGACAATACCAAGGTGATAATTAGTTAGGTGATAATCCAATTACAATAAATTAAAAAAAAATTGATTTTTACAGATACTTTCATGATGTAGTTCTTGATGGTGATCGGATAATTATAATTGGTGGAGTTAGTTCGGGTGAACAACGAAATTTATCTGAAGTAGAATCATATTACTATAGAACTAATGAGGGTGCCATTGATATGCCGGCACTGCCATGGGGTATTTCAGCTTGTAGTGCAATTAAATGGTCTAATTAAAAAAAAAGGGATTTGAATTAAGTTCATACTAATAGCTTTTATTTTTTTATTATTGAAAACGATTATTATACTATTAGCATAACAACCCATATCTGTATGGAATAAATTTTATATTTTAATAAATGTTTTGGATTTGGGCAATAATTTAGATTTTGTTAGTTTAATTGCCATTATGTTTATTATTATAGCTATAATTGTAATTTAATTATAATGATGTTTTTGGATAGCAAACGTTTGAACAAATTAAACAAGCGGTATATTAATAACTACAAATTCTTTCATCACGGAGAGTCACTATATAGCTCTTCGAGGACTGTAATATAATGATTCTTATTCAAATGAGATGCACAATGGAGGACCTATGCACACAAAAAATGTATATATAATAAATTTTTTTATTTTATTTAGGTTTACTTTTCTAAACCACATCATCTGCCCAACCCATCTACCTTGTGGTTAACTATGTTGCGAAAAACTATTTAGATATGAATGAACTAAATTTTTTTTATACAGACCAGAAGGACCCCAAATGAACTGTAGGATCAGCGTACAAACTACTAGGAAAGATATATCTTCCACATTAAAGTCAGAGTAAACCAATTTGATAAATTTATAAACTTAGCAAAGTTTTCAAATATTGCTCGAGGATGACAGCTCTCTGAGGTCGGTAATAAAAGAAGTACCAAAGATTTTTAATCTTCTATTAACCACAAAATTTATATTGATAAAGAAAGGCAAACATGTATATCTCCCCCTCTTCAGAACCTTTCTATTATCCAATGATCAATACATTAGTGCTGAGTAGTTTTTGCTTTAGTTGAAGCAATGGTACGTTTCCTAACCACTTTGGACCAAGTAGATTTTGAGCTCTGATAGGAGTTTTTACCTGCTCAGGTTTTTCAACTAAAATATTTTTGTTTTGATTGATAGTTTAGCAGTTGCAAGTTGGTGACCTATATCCGAGAAATGAAAGTCAGGAAGGGGAATGCCTGCTCATATGCCTTGCAGTTGTCCAAGATGTCCCTGTGTTCAGGTACTAATGTATACTGCACGCTGACATACTTAATTAGCTTATTAAGAGAAGTTCGGCATTGTTGCACCATGGAGAATTTAGCTGTAGTACCTAGTAGAGTTCTGATAGCAGTTTGGATGCCCAAGAGGATTATGCTATTTACATCCGGTTTTTTTTTGCTTAGGACCCACATTTCTGCGTAGTAAATCACAACTTTTTCTGCCTAAAAGACACTGCTATGGTTCGGTAGTCGAAGCGAGATGTTGGAATGAAATTTATAGGAAAATATACCACTTCCGACTCCTTCAAACTACTTATCTTTTAGTTTCGAAGAAGTGATACTAATTCTGTTGGAATTTCATATCATATATAGTAGAGCCGACATAGTAGATTGACATTGAGAGTTATAAATAAAAAAAATATTCTATGAAATATTGTAACGTAGAATATTTTTCTATTCTATATTGTTGATAGAAAAAATTGTAATATTCTTACTACGCAATTAATGGGAAAAATAAGAAATTTAAGAAAAATAACGCTCATGGTCATTCCATGTATTCAACATTTAAAAATATAAAAAGAACGTACAAGTATACAAACCCCATCACAAACTACCAAGGTAAAATTTCGACATCTACATCTGCATACATCCATGTGTACATATTTATGTAGCTTCATATAATGTATTTGTATTGAGAATGTCGAGAATGTCAGTACTTGACGCCAATATGAGACTACTACAACCGCCCAGTTGACAAATCTCGTAGGCGTTTAGCAACATGCAAATGATGAGTGGCACTTTGATGGCACTACAATGCTGTTTCTTCTAAACCAAAGGATAGGATGGGCTTGGTAGTGGAAGTGCTGCCATTTTAAATTTTGCACAAATACACTTTGCTTTAGTGCACAGCAATGAAATGACAGAATTTGTCAATTTGCCAACAAATAATAATCAAGGTTAGTTTGGATTAACAAATAAACCGTTTCCAATTTGTGTGAACTAAAAAATAGTTTCAAATATAATAAGCCATGTTATTACACCATACTCTACAATAATAATAATAAATATGTATATACATAGAGTATAAGCATATATGCAAAATAAAGGAATATAGATTTTCTTCTAATGTGCATTTTGAATAATTCAATTGAATTCAGTTCATATATAAATGCTTATTAGAAAACTTAGAAAACAAATTATTATTGTATTTTCGATAATGAAATAAAAATCATTATCTTAATATATTAAAATAACCTTTTATATCTATTACTTTTTAAACAACTTTGTAAAGTCCCCAAAAAATCAGAAGCTTCTAAATTCCATAATTCTCTCAAAAACCTTTTTTCGATTCGATGTATTTATATCAGTCATACGTTATTATGAGTTATTATTATAAACTTAAGTTGAAAAAACCAGAAGCTTCCAGATCCTGTAATAACTTAGCTTTCAGATTCTGTAATAACTTAACTTCCCGTTTCTTTCAAAAACATTTTGTCGATTGATCTATTTCTATCAGTAATGGGTTATTATTACTATAAATATTTAATTATTTAAATTTAATTATAATAATTAAGTTAATATATAAGCTTATTATTATGAACTTATGGATAATGATATAAAATATTTGGACAAGTGCACGAAAATAGAGAATATATCTCGATCAACTGATGAAAAGTGACAAAAAGTGCAGGAATCAGAGATAATAATTCGATCAACTGATGAAAAGTGACACAATAGCAGCAGCAAGAATCTTCGAGAGTGAAGTGAGAACAACGAGAAGAAAATGAAGACCGAGAAAGAGATGGACTGACAGTGTTCGACAAGATCTGAGAGATCTGATATGTGATATATGATGTGAGAGAATGAAGAAATATCGTAAAATAAGCTTAGGTGCCATATGGACTGAATAGCTATGAATGATTACAATATTATAAATTTGAAATGATAAAAAATCAGTAGCTTCCAGATTTTGTAATAGCTTTAATGGTTTTTTTATTTTGTTTTTTTTTTATTAATAGATATTCTTGAAATACACCCTCTCCTGCTCCGCTTTCTGCTTAGATGCATATATATAAATTAAAATTATATTTTTTTTCTTGTAATTTTTTTTGTTTCTGCATCAGACAACTTATAAATAGTCATAATTTTAGTACTTATAATACACTCATAAAAAGCAAGCATAAGTGGGTTTAAATATTTTTCTCATACGCTACTTATACTCACTCATACTGACCAGACAAATGATTCATAAGTAATACGCACACTGCATAAGGAAAAAAAATTATGTTTAGACAAAGCAACATTTTTCCTGCCTTAGTATATAAATACTTATTTATTTTTAGAAAATATTAAGAAAATTAATTTAAATATTTCTTAAATATTATATTAATAAACTTTAACATATTTTTGAGCACACGTATTGAGCTCTAAACAATATTGTAATTATAGTTCTTGTAACAAAGACTTTAGTAATTGCTTGAAATAATAAACTTATATTAATCATTAAATCTGTGTTTATTTGTTACTGTATAGATACAAATTTATGCATACCAAAAAATTTTTATGATTAATTTTGCCGACTTCATACATAATTGTTTTTATATCTAATTCTTTTTTCTTCCAAAAATTTGCAATAAATACATAAAAATATGTTGTTTTATGTCTTAAATAAATTAAGACATGAGACATTGTGGTTTACAATTACATTTGAAGTTGTGGTTGTTGAATAATGCCATCATAATGTAGAAAGCATATACCCATTTCATCCAACTCCTTTAATAAGACTCTCTCTTCTTCAAGTAAAAGTTTTCTAATCCTTTCACGACGCAACTGAAAGAAAAAAAAAACAATTGCTTAATATAATACAGTTCATACAATTTTAGTAAAAATCATATTAAACATAAAACATTAAAGTAAATTATAATGCATTATCAATTATTATTGTAAAAATAAAAAGCAACAATGCAAACGTAAAAACTAAGCATAAAGAGAAGTTACGAATTAGCAACAAAAACGATGTTGTCTCGTATACTACTGAAATTTGTTTGTATGTACTAAATTAAGGTAAATGGTTAGTGTATGATTACATAAATGAAAAATTTTAAATTAAAATTTTAAAAATTATTTGTTGTTTTGTAAAGTAAGTCTCCTATGAAGGGTGCATCAATAAAGAAGTTAGTTTTTGTACTTAGAAAGCAAAAAATGTATATTGTTTAATTAAATTACTTAAAATAAAATCTTAAATATTATATGATTTTTACATATCTTTAATTAAAGAGTTCACCATAAACTATTAGTTTATATATATATATTATTCTATACTTACCGTAGTATGAAATGGCTTAACTGTACTCAGTTCAACCTTAATGGGCCATACAACAATATCAATACCACGGTCTTTTCTACCGATCCTGCCCACCTTGCGATCATAAATTCTACGTTCGCTGTAATTACAAATAACACAAATAAACATATATTAAAAATGTGTGAACTAAAATGAAAAAGATGTATTCCTTTTAAATGATTAATATATAATTAAATAATAATTAAATTAGCATAAAAGAAAATTGTTTGATAAGAATACTTTTACAGTGTAATATTAATATAACAATTTTATGAGTATTTTATAAAAAATATTGACTTACAGAAAACTTTCCAAGCGATCCATGCTTTATAACTAATATTGTAAAATATAGTTGCTTTCAATCAAAATAAGCAACAATATATGCAACAAAAATTTTAAATTCAGAGAAATTAATTTAATAAATTTAAATATAAATTTTTCAGTTGTTTGTGTTTAAATGAAAATCATTGCGCTCTTAGATTATAAAAATTATTGTTGTCAGTCATACCTAGTCATACTGCTAGCATTAATGGTAATTCTGAACCAAATACTGTTACCAGATGCAAGATATCATAAATAAATATCTTCACCTCGGTTGAAGTACTATATAGTATATGGAGTCTTAAATATATTAGGTTATAGTTTCAAATGTCATAGAAGATTCAGTAAATTTATAAAGAAATCATCGTGCCCGAGTCACGATGTCCCCTAGACAATTATTTATTTTATAAAATTAATTTTCACTTAATCAAACTAATTATGGTTTCCTTTTTC